CACTGTCAGTGCAGAAATCTGGGAGGGCACGTGGCCCCCCATTTCCCCCTGTTGTGTTGCCAATGAGTTCCAGGAAAGTGCCTGACTGCCACCCAGGCTCTGAGGAAAATAGGGTAAACTTAGAGTGACATATTATTATTAAGGAAACCTCAGACACTGACCCAGACCCTCCCAGCAGATCCCCACCCAGCCAGGAAGAGTGGTGTCCAGCCCAGCTCAGCCCCTAGCTCCAGACGTTGCTCAGGGACAGGTGTTATGGACAGGGTGGTGCCAGTCAGGGCCTTTTGTTTCCATCTTCAGCTGGCTGGGATGCCAGGGTAGCTTACAAAATCTAGGACTGTCTGGGCCAAACCAGGACATATGGTCACCCTAGGTAAACTCAACGGTTCTCAGATGTATTTACAGCTCTCTAAACCAAATTTTTCCTTTGATAGAACTTGAGTATCTTAATTCATTTCTACCTAGTCTTAGGGACCTACTTAATTCATAGTTTCATGGATTTCACAGAAACCATAGAATTCAGGATTGTCCAGGAAATCAACAATAACAAAAACTTTATAAAAATAAAATGCTGGCTCCCCAGTGGAAGCCAGTGATCCTTGCTGCTGGGAGGGGAAGGTGCCGACTGGCAGGGCGGCACAAAGGGCAGCAGGCAGGATGGCAGCTTGTCCCTCCTGCCCCTGCCAGGGCCTCTCTGCCAATCAGGGCCACCATGAAATGCCCACAAAATAGGCTCTGCGCACCTTGGGCAGACCACAGCAAACCTTTTGTCTTGTAATTTAAGTAGGCCCCTACCTATTTGATGTGGCTGCTCTCTGGCCATAGTAATTCGGTGTCATCACAAATTAAAATAAGAAGCTAACCTGGAATGTTTGATAGCATCCCAAAGAAAATTATCAAATGCAAGTAAAATGCAATTTCTGCACAGATTTTGAGCAGTGGTCAAATAACATTTAGTCAGTTAATATAGTAGAGTTTTGTCCAACCCATCAGTCTTAACAATCTTATCATAACTGATACCAAAAATTCTCATAATGCTGAAATTGCCTTTTGAGCAACTCTCCAAAGCATTGTCATGTATAAAATTGTTCAGTCTTGAAGTTGTATATCACAATAAATTTTAGGGGTTTTTAATCGTTTCTCATTGCTCTTTGTTACAGCTATTTAAAAATCAAAGTTTAGGTCTAATCAGTTAAAATGAGGGTTGCCAATAGCAATGTAATAGTATTAATGTTATGTTGCTTTTTTAGACTTTTTTTCTCCACTAAATCTCTCTGGTTCCATAAAACATATTTTATAAAGTGACTTTAGTTTCCACATTTATTGTTATCAGTTTGGTATTTTCACAGGTTATGAAGTAAGTGCTGTATCAGTCTGTAAAAAAATATGCGAAAAGAAAAGTAGATTAAAGGAGCTTTATTTTGGAACATTGCTCAGAAGGATGATTAAGTATTTATTTAAAGTTCTGATCTTAAAAATTGGAATCAAATATGCCACTGAACAACATAATTATTTTAAACTAAAATATGAATTCTGTAAAACTCAGCCATTGTAAAAGATTAAAGATACAAAACATTTCTACTTCTCAAAGACAACTGATTTCTTCCAAAATCTTTCTGGTTTAAAAATCCTTAATTGCAACTTTTTTGTCACACTTATTTTACCTTAAATGTGCCAAACAGCTTTTTTCACTCAGTTCCCACAAAGTAACTATGGCTATATTTAACACTTCATTCTTTAATATACAATTTTGCATTTCAATTTTATGCTAGAAAAGGAAGTATACTGTATGCCATGATACTTCAGTAGCCTTTTTCTCTTTAATTTGCTGTTAGATTTTTATGCTTTTTGCTTTTTTTACCATAACAGTCTCCAATGCCACATACTCAAGCCTGCAGGTCATTGACCAACCTGAGTAATTCTAGTTCATCTCTGCACTTCCTGTAGAAGGCAGAAAGAAAGGGATTCTCCATCATCATACTGAAGAGTTATTCTGCAGAAGCTGTTGCAACCCAATGGCTGAAGCAGTACCCCCCACTCTCCCTGACTTCCTTTCCTGATTTTAGGATGCTCTGGTCTCAGGCCTCTATTGTCTGTTTTGTATTGCCACTTGGGAACCCAGGCAAAGAACAGCATTGTACATGTAGCAGAGAGTGCACAACTGCCTTTCTCTCTCTTGGCTTTGTTGTATGAGGGTCTCTGGACCTGTGGAGGAGGATGCAAAATTTGACTCTTAAAATAAATTGCACTGAAGTAGTTGCATAAGAAATGGATCACGCTAGGTCAGTGAGTTACCAGAGTGGAAGCCAAGGTCAAAATCAGATATCAGTCCAAGTGTAGGATGTTAAGCTGATGATCGTGATGCAGTTGCGAGTGGGGTGAACAGCAAAGCCAGGAGATCCGAAACAGGAACAGGTAGAATGGTCTAAAACAGCATGACTTCTGGGACAGGGCCCGACAGGAAATTGAAGGGTTTTATAGCCTTCTCATCAAGAACTTGTGACTCCCATTGATTTCCAAACTGTGCAGTCGGTCCAATAAATTATATCATCTAACATCTTTCTTTTTTATCATAGCTATGGGCAAAAAGACTAAAATTTGAAATTGGTATGGTTGATCATCTTGAGGATTCCTTTGCTTAGCTTGAAATAAATAAGAACCAATTTTAAATAAGGGACTATATGTGCACTGTAAAAAGCTTCAAGCATATCTCATGCATATGTGCATGGTTAGTCAGTTGTGCATTGTGGTTTGGGAGTCCTTTAAGCTCCAGGAGAGTGTAAGAGCATGTGCATGCCCCGGCACTTTAAATTGTCAAATAAAACTATATACATGCTTAACCTAGTGGCCCCATTCAGTCTTTCTGGTAAAGTTACTAAAAGGCCCAAATAAAAATATAATTCAGTTTTAAAACAGCATGGAGTCACAGTGTCAGAAGATATAAAATTTGGATTTCCAAGAGTAACAGAGTGAGCCACATGGCACAAATATTTATCATATTTACTTGTATACAACAGTCAATTTCCCCCCAAATTTAGCCTTCCAAAATTGGGGTGCGTCTCTTAAGCAAGGAAGTTTCTGACCTGAATAGATGCTGTAAAATGGCTGCTGCTTCTTTTCCTTCTCTTTTCTCTACCAGCACATGGAGGGAGAGGGAGGAGTCCAGTAGGGGCAGATGCCAAGAGGGGTGTAGTAGTGCAGTTGCACCCCACCTTGATTCTTGTTCCACTCAAAGTTTAAAACCAGCTACCCAACAACTTAGTGGTATTTCAGTTCAGGCAGTGCTGAGGGCATCAGTTGACTTCATGGCTCATTATAATCTATCTGATTGCTCTTCACTCCACAGGTATTAACAGCCCTCTCCTTTTCTTGATGTTCCACTGATGAAGCTATCCCTTCTTTGGCAATTTTGCTGCCTGTTAGCTACTCTTGATCTCTCTTCTCCTGTTTCACAGCCTGGCAGATGTATTCTAGCTCTTTTCAAAATCCTATATCTGCCCATGGAGTCCAGTCTTCAGCAGCAGCAACAGTTTTAGCTTTTGGCTGAGCTTCCAGGATTGCTGACCATTCTGCTATGAAAAGGTTAAAATTATAGCTTTTGCCTGAGCAGGAAAGGAAGGGTGAGCAGGCTGAAGATAAGGCTGTGTTCCTGCTCTATGTGGCTATAACCCTGGAAAAATCTTGTTTTCTTCATTCTGCCTTCCCCAAAATAAGGTGTGTTTCTTATGGGGGCGTGAGGGGAATATGTGAGAAAATACACTCATTTCTTGTTTTTTTGTAAATGAGACAATAGCTTTATTGTTGTCAGTTATACATGTACTGTAAAATACTGGTTTTCAAACTGAGACCTAACACACCACATTTAAAACTGAAAAGTACGTGGTATATAATCAAACTGATCAGCTTAATCATTGTAGTTGTAATGAATTCTTATTTTGGAGATATATTTTAACCAACCTGCATACCATTTGATTGTAGCCTGCATAGCATCACTTGTAAACATGCCCTAATTTAAGAACTACAGATAACATAGAGAGGATCTGCCATATGACTGAATTGGTGTTGGAACCTTAACTTTTTAATGTGTTGATTTTCATGTAATTTAATTGTTTAAACAGCTATCTAAAATATCTTAGTTTTATTACAGCTCTCAATGTACCACTCTGCGGGAATGCATTCAACTGATTTTACTATGTGTCTGCTTCACTATGCCAGTGTTATTCTTTCTGATGTAGTAAAATATAAGAATATTTAATAAAATATAAGAATATTTAATAAACATCAAAACTCTTGGTGTTCATATACAATATATGTAGTTCAGGTATCAGAGGACTAATGTCCATTTTGCATTTGGCATATGTCAAGGCATCTCTTTCAGAAAAACTTGAATGAACATGGTAGCAGAACTCCTTCTTCCCCCTACAGGTCTAAGGATTTATTCCTATTCTTTGGCCAGTTGCGAGGAAGTTTGCAATACTAATGCCTATGTTTATTCTCTAGAAAATGTAATGATACTATTGCATACAAATTAATCCATTTTCACTATTGTCCAGGGATATGAACATGGGTCTGAATGTTCAGAGGTCCCATGTTCCTAACCAGTTACATGGCTTTGAGCAAGCAATTTTAGTTTTCTGTTCCAGTTCCCGGTCTGTGAAACAGGGATTATAATATTTGCCCACCTGACACACGTGGGTCATGAAGACTAGTGGTTTAATGTCTCTATGCTACTTTGAATAAGTATTGTTACTGTTGTTAAGTCTTTGAGATAATCAAGCCATTATCTTTTGTGGGCGCAATACATTTTGGTCCCTCTTTCTGCTCAAAGTCTATATTGGACTATTTCAAAGAAACACCTACACCTATATTGATTTTAAAGTCCATATTTGATGCTCTCCAGCTGGTTGAAAATCTGTATCTGTAAAACTGTTATAATCTGTATAACAGTTGGATGAAACTCTCATAAAGTATGTTGAAATGTTTCTTTCCCTCGTGCATAGATTTGATGCTACAGAGGCCCAGCTCTGTTTCATAGTGTTCCAGTTTCTCACAGGAACTCTGGGTCCTTGGTTCTGGAACTATACGGTAAAACTAGACTGAATGCTACCCACTGAACAATGGCATGGATTCTTTAAAGACAGCACCTTTGTCATGCACAAAGTAACTTGAGATGAGAAGTGTCTTTCTAATGCTAATTGCTTTAATTAAAAAAAACAATGGCTAAAGCATAAAAGAGCAGTAAAAATTCTGTCTGGTTAAAAATGAGTCTTTTCAAAGCAATTTATGGTTTAATTAAAACCACACATTACATTATTTTTAAACAAGGACTTTTACATTGGTTATTTTAAAGTTTGCTGTGTGGGCTACGTTTTTATGTGTACAAGATAACCAAAGTTTCAGAAGTGGCTTTTTGCGTGTAGGTCTGGACAAATTTGGTTGGAACTACCTTTAGAAAGCTTTTCTCGGTTCAGTACCTTTCCACCGAAAATAGACTTGTTTGAAAGGCTTATAGGATCAAATGTTTAGATAATAACAAAGTTAGGAAAAACCTTATGGTCATAGAATACAAACACTTGCATCAAGCTTGGAGGCTGGAATAAAAGACCTTTGAGGTCCTTTCCAAATCTGTGATTCTGTGAAACCTGTGCAGCTTTATTCTTGAAGTCTAGAGCCTCAATTGCCATAACTTTGTTCTTAGTCATATACTTTCACTGTCTGGATGTGCCCACTGCTTACCATTAAAATGTTTTTCTGAATATCTAAGCTATACTTTCTTTTCCGCTTCTGCACTTACTTCTCTCAGATGTGCATACAGGTGTTTTTGTGCATTAAATATAATTTTAATACTATTAAACTGAATTTCCTCAGTTTCTCAGAATGTTGCCTAAGTTGAGTCCTTATGATATCTACCATGTTTCTCTGTCTTGGGCTGAAGACCAAAAGTGCGTGCGTGCGTGCGTGCGTGCGTGCGTGCGTGCGTGCGTGTGTGTTTAAAGGACCTTGCAATCTAATGTAAGGCACATATTAGGGATGTCACAAACCCAGCAGTAGCTCAACTATTTGAATAAAGGTATTGAGAAGGAAGCATGCTGGCAGGAACAAGTGACTCGGGTACCAAGGTTGAGATGTGACAAGTAGAGGTGCCCAGCTGCTGAGTCAAATCATGGAGAGGGAATCTCTGTTGAAGGAGAGCAGTAATTTTCAACCAAAGCTAAGGAGAAAGAGAAGTTGGAGAGGGTACATCATTACTAGGCAAGAATATGTGTGTGGGTTGGTGGAAACTGGATCAATGGAAGAAGCACCTTGTACTCTGGGAAATATGAAAAATCCCTTAAGAATTTTTGCTCCTGACAAAAGGTGGTAATAGTTTCTGCTGCTTTATTACAGCAGTCATCTGCTTGCTTTATGGCAGGAGAGTGCAGGCAGCTTAGAGCTGCTTGCACTCTACAGCCACCCCAGCCAGGCACTCTGAGGGCTTAAGAGGCCTGATCCTGCGCACCTTAGGAATTCCTGCACAAGATTGGGCCCCTCGAGCCCAGACAGTACCTGCCTGGGTTTCCCCACTTAGAAACCAATGCAAGAACTTCCATGGGGTACATCTGCAAGTGGAGAATCCCAGCTTTTTCCACTTAGAGAGACACCCAGGAGAATCTCTGGTTGTACCTCTGCAAGCAGAGAACAACCCCCTCCCATGGAAATTGTCCTGCAGGATCAATAGACTGGACAATGGGAGATGTTTCATCCAGTGAAGCAGATCAGCTGTGCTAGGATACCTCCAGAACACTTCCTCTGGCAACATCTGTTTATACCTGAATGAAAACTTAGGGTATTTTTATTTTGTCCTACAGGATGCTGTATACATGGAAACGGTTGTGCTTTTGTGTTTCTCACTGAGCAGCACAGCACAAGATCTCTATAAGAAGAGAATCCCTTCCCTCTCTTAACAGTGCCTATCACTACTAACTAGTTGTTCAGCTCCAAACAGTTTAGCAGTGTTAGAAGTCTATACTGTAGCTGGGTCACTTGTTGCACCTGGCATTTCAAACTTCATTTGAGTATGGTTAAATAATATGATTTAAAAAATACCTTCTTGTTGACAGTATTTGAAGGTTGACAGTATTTAAACCGATGTAGTCTCAGGAAATGGTAACACAGGGAGCAATGAGTTGAAAGGAAGGAAATGTTTAATCAAGATTTGCACTGTGATATGGCATTATAGTCATGCTTGAGAGGCCACTTTTACAAAAGTGACTAAAATGTATATTGATATGCTGAAAAATTCTCTTGTCTATTCTTGGCTTAGAAGTTATTTTAGGGAAGAGACAGGGGGGAAAAATGAACAAAAATTATCTATTTGAATGATAAGGAAGACTAACAATTTTTATAACCATCTAAGAAAATAATCACTCTTTATTGTTCAGATAACTAAAACTGATAGGAATTTTAATCTTCAGATTTGTTCTAGACCGTCTCCTCAGTTAAGATGTCTTTGCTATGCCTGAAGAAATTTAGTTTTATAGCACATGCCCTAAGCATATTTTCCCCCTAGTAATAAAATTCTACTAGCTTAGGTTTGTGGCCTTTCCCCATCCCTTTCCCATTAATTTTAAGTCATTTTCAGCCTATTGCAATACAACTGATTAATGTTAACTAGCTCAGATGTCTGTTAAGTCTCTCTTACTGCAAAATATACCTCTCCAGTAGACTACCTATCAATATTAACACTGCAGTTGTAAGCATCATTTCACCAGACTTCATGTCTACTTAATCCTCTGTCCATCCTTACAAAGTCAAGGCTGGGTAACCAGCTTCCTTTTATCATCCTGACTTGTGTCCCTTTTAGATCTACACTCTTCTCACATGATTTGAAAGAGTCCATTTCAGATTTCTCATGTGTGGTCTGATGAGAGGAGAAGAGTTTTAACCAAATTGTACTGAATTGCACAAGCTGCTTTTTAGATGTAAGGCTTGGAAAATTTAAAAATACAAATTCTCCAGATGGATTTTATTTCTTTTGGTCACGCTCTGTCTCAAACAGTTTGACTTAAAACCTTCACATTTAGTTTATTCAAACAATTATGTGGCTGAGATCTTAATAACTTTTTTGAATGAAATGGGGACATATGTTGTAGAAGCAACTTGATGCCAAATTAGGGTAATCTATTGGGCTCCAATGAACTTTCTGAAAGTACCAATGGTCTGGTAGATCGTATGCTGTTTTGCCCCCTTGTAACAGAAGTGTTTGGACAGCACAAGTGATTGTGGAAGGACTTTGGAAACTTCCAGGAAGGTCCACTATATTTTGATGTTGTGCTGGAATCACTGGTAATGGGGCAAAGTCTTCTCTTTGTTCCAGAGTGTACACCATCTCCTCTTACCACCTCAACAGAGACTTTCCCCTTCTATGCAAAATCTGACTAAATGGACTAGAATTGTGTGGCACTTGCAATTCCTGCAGTGACTTTTCTGGAGATTTATAAACACTGAAAGGATTTGAAGGACATTGTAAATATCATGTAAGTTTATCTGGATCTGTTAAACTCTGTGTAAACTATGGTTGAACTTAGAAACAACCCAGGTAAATAGGTATAGGTGAAGGAGCTCTGTAGCACGATGGCCCCAGCACTTTTATTTCAACACACTGTTCCATCCTATATGTGAATGAATGCACCCACTTATACAGATTCTAGGACATGCAGAGTCTCCATAAGCCGTTTGCAGAGCCAGCTGTGCTAGAAGAGGAGCAAGAAAACTGCTTAGATTACCTTGGTATCAGCTGGGTTGAAATATTTAATGAAGTCTGTTTATATAGTTTTGAGGTAACACTAGCCAGCAATCAACCAAAATAGGCTACTGCCTAATTTAATGAATGAACAAAAATGCTATTTTTGGCCTGGTAATTTTTTTTTAATTAAAAAATTAAACTTCCTAGAGAGAGAAACTTGTTAGCATTAAATATGTAAGCAAGTATCAATACTTTTAAGTTTGACTGAAAATATTTTTTAAAAATACTGAAGTTTTGGATTACAGAAGTGCAGTTAACTTTCCAACCACCTCAGCTCTACACTCCTCTTATAGAACTCAATGTCATCATGTTTACTTGAACTCTTTAAAGTATTGTGTACTGTGGAAGTTTGGTCCTGAACTTTTCTTGCTAGGCACATCTTACCCCCACATATTTCAACAGATTAGAATCCTGTAACTGGTGTAAAATAATATTGCACTGATTTTTGCTGTAATGTTTAGGTAGTGATTCATGCACCTCTTGGGAAATGTCAGCCCTTAGTTTTCCCCTCTTTTCGCCTGTAGAAAAATAATAGAGCAGTTTTTCTTTTGCAAAGAACTTAGAAAGGCCACATCTATGGATTTCTATTTGAAATCTCTGGGTTTATCTGGTGAATCACATTTCCAAACCTCACAGTGCTAATGTTGCATGGCACCCTGCATCACACTTAAAATGATCTCACCTCTGGGTGCCCTGGCACCCTGGCTGAGAACTACTGCACTAATATGTTGGATGTCTTTTTAGGACTGACTTCTGTAGAAAATAAAACATTTAAATGGTAGCAGTTTTGAGAGGAACAAAGGCTCACTGGCATAGGATGCATGAATAAGATGAGAGAGGTCTTTTGTCACTGGAGCATAAATTAGCAGCTGTTCTGTGCTTGTGCTTGTACACCTGGCACATGAGTGTTAGGTACTTTGGTAAATAAAATAGTATTAAGTGTAATGGGCAGCATGGCCAGAGCTGAAGGATAGGTATTGTGCTGCTGTATAGGCGTTAACCTTATCTTGTGTATTTAGGTAGGCAGTGAGTAGTATGTGATCAGCAATAATTCTTTCGAGGAATCTGTCTTGTGTATTGGTATTTTGAGGAAACTGTCTTGCATAGTGATATGGAGATATAATGGATAATGTACCTTTATCCATCTCTAATTCTGTAACTCTATGATGGGTTTTAGGTTACAAGTTCTTTAAGGACTATATTTTTGTGTTTCCATTGTGCTTCACCTGATGGAGCCCTGATCCATGTTGCAGAAGCCTTGGGACACCACTACCATAGAGAGAGAAAACCAGCAGGTGCT